AAATAATAATAATAAATGATAAATGGTTAATTGTATTACCTTTTGTAGCATTACGAAAAGAATTAGAATCACCATTAGAGAAAATTTCCTTTACATTTTTTTAATTTTTTTCTATAATATATAAGAATTTTCAATTGTAATATTAATATTAAAAAATGAATTCAATCGCAACAACATCTTATTATAAAGCTTTGCAACAGCAACAACAACAAATGCTACCTCCTCCCTCTCCTTCTCAATCACATCAATACCATCAAAAAAAACAACAACAAATGTATTCTCTTCCAAATTCAACACCACAACCACCACAATCTTGGCTTCAACAAGAACAACAAGAATTATTTTATAATACTTTACATTTAGTGAATAAAGAAGAGGATGTTTTAAATATGGTCGTAGAAATGTTAGATAAAGCAATAGAATCTCCTTATGCATTACTCCCCGAAGAACCACCTAATTATAATCATGATACAGTGACTACCATTCAAGAATTAGAAGAAAATTATCACAAACCTAAAATTTTAAAAATTTTAAAAGATTTTGAAGCTCAGTATAACAATGATACAAATTATACAGTTCTTTCTGAAAGGATAATAAAAACCCTAAAGTTGGAAATCTTAGACGATTTAAAATTAATGATGAGTATTTGAAAAGGTTACAAATTAGGTTGATAGAAGTTAAATGCTACTTAGTTTCAGGTGGATCTGAAAAAGCTTATCAGACTGTGCCTAATAAAATATCTGGTATAGAGTTTAATGAAAGTATTAATACAATTTTTGAAGAATTTTTAATATTACCTTTAATAAAAGATTGAATGCCAATCATAAAGCTAAAATAAATATAGATGATAAAGGTAAAGGGAAATGGAGTGCTGCTATGTATGTCGAGCCTCATAAGAATAAACAATGTACTATAAATTGTCGAAAAATTTTAGCTACAAAATATTATGGTGATGATGGAAAGATTTTTATTAATGAATGTTTAATGCAACGTATTTCACTTGGAGTTCAGTTTTGTCCATTTGTAGCTAAAGAAACTGTTGCTAGTAATGGTAAATTATTCACAACCCCTTTAGGTAATTTATTTGTAAAAAATTCTAAATTATACGGTATTGGACTTCATCAAGTTCCATATGATAGTGAAACTTTTATAGATACAATAGAAAGTAAAATACCTGTTAATGCCATAATTTCATTTGATATAGCTGATTTGGGAGTAATTGAAGGAAAATTGATTCTTTATTTACGCAATCTTGATTCGGTTTTTTATTCGGATATTCCAGCAAGTAATATACAAAAGACTGCACCTAATGCTATAAAAAATTTATTATCAACTACAAATA